ATTTCGGGCTAAACACAAAATAGCCTCTTAATTACTTTCAATCTAGGCTAACCAACAGCTATCCAAACAATTACTCCAATCCAAGTTTGAGTAAACAAGTACTCAACTGTCTATCTTTGTATTGCCTACTGCATAACCTACATTCATGTTCACCGCTCAACGGGTATTTCACTAACGGGTCTCTCCACCCCTCACCCTCCCCTTAGTCTAACATGCTAGCTGGTGTCGTGGACGAGTGGATATGTCACCGGACTGTGGACCACAAGGTTCGCGGTTCAAGTCCCACCGCGGCACTAATGTCCTTTGGCAAGACATTGATCTACATTTGCCACTCTCCACCCAGGTGTTAAATGGGTACCCGGTAGGATGCGAAAGCTAATGTGGTTAGATTAGCAAGTGTGCGCTCGTAAAAAAGACGCCTGGCTGGAATGCTCCCCAGGGAGTGGAGAATGTGCATACATTGTGTGCGGGTAAGCCTGAATCCTATGACCGGGGTAATAATATATATATATCTGTAAAGCGCTTTGAGAGGGCCTTCGGTCTTGAAAAGCGCTATATAAGAACTAGCTATTATTATTATTATTATTATTAGCTCACTCTGTCGGCTACCCATGCGACTTTAAATTCCACGGATTCTACGATAGATAGCCTCGAATTTACAATTCCTACTTTTCACCAACTCCGGAATTAATTAATCAATTTTAAACGTACTTTAGTCCAAAGAAAACACTGAATTCATCCCTAATTGCTGTCTGTAATACAGTTGTAAACCTATATTTAAAATTCCGCTATCGATAATTATCACAAATTGCTATAGATTTATAATAAAATCTAAGTAAGTACAACCAACGTTACTTACTGTACAAATTCTGAGTGCCAAGAGAGATGTAGAGAGAGAGAGAGAGTGCTTGTTAACAGATCAACAATCCAGTGCACTCATATTTAGATCAACTATTTACATTCTATTTACACATAGGAGCAAAGCCATTTTAAATTCATTTAAAAGAATGGCTGCTTTTGTCCTCTACAGATACATTTACGTGGCATCCATTATCTTACAGATAACTGAAGTTATACCTTAAGTTACCATGTACAGGAACAAAAGATACATGTTTAAATTGTAGTAGTACTAAAAATAAACTAAGATTAAAACTTAAACCTAAATCTTAATCTAAGGTCTATAAATAGGTTTCGGAATTCTGTTACGAGCCATTTGTTGAATCAGTCATGAATGAAATATTAAGTTGAATAATTTGCATATGTACACAATTTATATTTTAAATTATTAGTTTGTATATTGTAAGACATTGTAGGGTATTCATGTATTTTAAAGTATCGATTGTAATAGTAAATTCTTATTTTTTTTGTTTTGTTACGTTTTCTAAAATGATTTGTACTAAAATACTTTGTTTAGCTGTTTAAGGGGTTAGGCTCGACTAGCACATGTGCTATTATCTGGTCCCTTTTATCAACCAATACTTTCTCTTCTTGTTAATGTAAAATCATTGCATGAAATGTTTGTATTGCTGTTGGTTAATAACTTAAATCAATCAATCAATCAAATCAAATATACAAGATACCTCATATATTATAAAGCACCCATTAAATTTTACGTTATAAAGGTCCAAAGCCTCTCTGTCCACATGTTCATATTTGGAGAAGTCTGTGGTACTTCAAAAATTACAATTAATAAATGACACATATCTGTTAAGGATAAAGGTGAGCTCTAGTTAAAAAAAAAAGAAAATGAATTCTCACAGAATCAAACGAAACTTATACTGAATGTTCAAGATTACAAATAAATGTCATTTGCCAAACAATTTTGGTAGAAATGTATACTGGCTGAGTAATGAGCTTAGAAAGATTAGGAAATCAATATTGGTTGCCCTGACACCATTTGTGTAGTCCCATGTACATCTGTCTGTGTAAAATGCTTGTTACTTTACCAAGACTGGGCCAAATTTGTTATGATTTTGATGACTCCAGATCTCTGCAGTACACAACAATACTTACATGCTACATGATCAACTTTTGTAATCCATTCCACACTTTTTCATCCACAGTGCAATCGGTTTTACTACGGCAGGCAGCCAGTAAAAGCGAATTCGTTTATTATCGTGTATTAAATTATGGAAATGCAAGCATTACTTTAAACCAACAGAACTTGTGTTAATCCTGGCTCATTTTTCCTGATCGAGGTGTCAAATAAAAGGACAGAAAATGAACTTTCTGGAAAAGTGATTTTATCTTTGAAATTCAGATACCGCCCGCCAAAAGAATTTTTGGTACCCTTTTTTAAAACTGTTTTAAATCACTCATTAAAAGTGCATCGTATGATTTGCATTAAATTAAAGAGGAGGATGTAAGGTTTATAAATATGTGTCATTTATTGATTATAATTGTGATTAAGTTATGATATAACATCGATAATTCTCGGTTTCGTTTGTCTTGGACGCACTAACCTGTTAATTATTTAGGAGTTTGTGTAGGCTAAAAAAGGAGATTTTTCGTCAGAAATGAAATTCATTGATATGTTAAAAGTAAGAAATATTTCATATGGAGTTATTTGGAAAAATAGTAACATTACATTCAAAAAACAAATATTGTTTTATCGAGTATGGAAAGATGCCGGTTTATTGTAAATACATAATTTGATTACAAATGGTATTGGGAACGACTCCACTTTATTTATCAAAACTGTGAACGCACAACAGCTCTTATTTGATTTTGAAAATACAAAATTAAAGAAAATATTTCCGAGGTGTTGGTGATATAAATTTAGTGTTGCCAATGATTTTGAACATGTATGTGATATTTAAAATCTTATAGAACAGGATAAAGGGGATAAAGTAATTTGTTATTGTTATGAAAGTGAAAGATTACAATCGTTTGTTAAATACAGAAGAAGTCGAGAGAACCAGCTTTCATTGATTTTTTTTGGAATCCCTTTCTAGATTTAGATAACGACTGTGTTTGGCAGAATGTAGTTTCTTTTAAATTAAAGCAAATTCATAATAATAAAGTTAAACAAATTTAATTTCAAGATGATTCACAAGATTATTGCTTCAATAAAAAATTTATATAAATTACAAAGTGTGAATAATGATTTATGCAGCAATTATGGACACGTTGATTCAACGTTTTACTTTACGTTACATAGCAAGGATGATTCTTTTTTTTTTGGAAATTATATGTAATTTGATATTTAACCTTTTCCAAGTAGATAAACAAGAAAAACAAAATATTATTTGTATGTAAAGACTTAGAGAACAAGGAATATACTCTCCTGATTAAACAAAAATATGCGCAATATGCAATTTATAGATGTTGGGTTCCAAAGATTGTCATTTGTTCTGTTATTTACCTGCATGCTTTTTTAAAATCGTTAATAAGTATTAGTTAAAGATATGAATGTGTCAGCAAATAAAATACTACTTAGCTGGAAGAATAATTGAATAAACTAATTTAACCTTTGATTCATGCAAAATGCGCTAACTTCGTTTTTATTTGTAGTTACAAGGAGTCTTCATGTATAAACTGTGTAATTTAATATTGCTACTGCTGTTTCATATTATTTGCCGCGCTATATAAATTCCCTTCATTCTAAGGTCGGGAAAAATTCTTTTGTGACACTTACAACTTTGTAATTATCATATACTTCTCTGAATGCCTCAAATGCCACTAAAGTAGAATGAATACCAAATAGACTTACGAAGGGGTCCAGGATTGTTCCAATGGTCCTCCCATTTCCTTTGCCAAAAAACAATTCTAACTCAACCCAAGGACGTATGCTTGTATTTCCTAATACCCAGATGATTACGCTAAAGATTCCCGTGTACATGGAACAAAACAGAGTCCATTTGATTTTCTTGATATCGTCAAAGAACTGGCGTTGTGCTATGAACAAAAATAGCGTCATGCTCCACGTCAAGTAAATTTTAAAAAGAGCATACAGGATGGAGAAGTAAGCTAGTGCCTGG